CCGTTTATGCCCACCATTCCCTTCGTCGCCAGCGGCCGTCGGTGAACCTCCGGCTGCTTCTCCGCCGCCGTCTCTAGTGGTTGCTCCTCCATCTCCGATGTGGGCTTTTTTTTTTTTTTGCTTTTGGCTTCTGGGAAGTGGGAAGTGAACGAGGAACGTTGTCTGAGATTGGGATGGGAGATTGATAGAGCGTTATTACATTGTTTAATCAGGGGAGGAAATATGCATGAGGAGGTGATACGTGGAGCATAGAGTATAGACACGTGGCACACGCTGGGGGAGTGAGACGAACATTTGTTCAGTTTTGTCTGAAATTGACCAGAAACGGTTTGGTTTTGACCTTAAGCGACAGAGATATTTAGCGGGCTTTTATTGGGCTTAGGGCTTTATAGCCCCTTTAACTAAAATAACTAATGATTTTAGATAATTAACTAAAATAACAAAAATAACTAATATTTTTTGGTAAGTTTCTTCTAAGATCAAAATAAAATTAAAAAAGTAAAGATTTGTATTGAACAAAATTTCCAAAATATATGGAGAATCCTAAGTCACCATTCTTTATCATTACTTTCTATTTGATTATAATTAATAAATAGTGTTAATGGATCCTAATAAATTTTAAAAGCTTTTTTCTTAAATTTATGGTTTAATATAGAAAAAAAATTAGCGATAATCATTTCAAATTTTGGTTCGAATTCTGTTCATGAATTAAATTATTTAGACTTAAAAAAATTATAATCATTTGACCTTTATATTAAATTTATAATTTATAATGTTTTATTTATTTATTATTCGATTCCATTCGGTCAAATAAAAAAATAACCATTTGACTTATTATATAAAAAATAATATACATATCGATTATTAATTAAGTGGGTCATAAAAATAAAAAATATAGACAAATATCCTGCATGATAAAAAAAACATTTGATTATATATACCATTTATTTATGATAACACACAAAATGTATGTTATAAAAATTACTGGATAAATAATATTATCACATTCCATGGAAAACAAATATAGCATTGCGCAAAACTTGTATTATTGTAAGTAACATGTTATATTAAAAGAAATCCAGGATGTGTGTTCCTAATTTATCAAACACCTTTAGTTTATTTGTTTTGACTGATTAAATACCTTTGAATTTGGACATGCTTTACTAAAGATCTCTGAGTACAATTTAGAACTTTATTCTATTTATTTGTACTACATTTTTAATTTTGTCGGCCGACTATATATATATGTATATTATAATATATAATAAAAAGATCCGTATGATACATTTTTATCTCTTTAATTTATTTGCAGCCCAATATTAATAAATTTTACATTTTCGTTTACGTAAAATCTATTTTTTCCAGTGACGTCCTGAGCTTCCTTACGTGGCACGCTCTCATTGGTTCGTTTCTTTTCATGGATCAAACAACGGGCACTTATTCATCTGTTTTGTGGAATTTACAATATCGCCCTCGTATTTTCTCGACACCGAGTTAGAGAAAAGGAAAGAAATGAGCAAGGAGGAGCGATTGATTTCCTCTGGAGGTGCCTTCTTCCTCTTCTTCTCCTCTGATTTTCTTCTCTGTTCCTTTCTCTCCGCGTCTCTCGATCTGTCCGTCAATATCTCTCCGACCAATGACTGTGATTGCTCCGCCGCCGCTTGATGTAAATTCCGATTCATCGTTTGTTCTCTTTGTGTTTTTTTTCGTTGTTTCCTTTGTGGGTTCTCCCCATATTCACTCGAGTCATCTTCTGATTGCTTGTTCGGTTTGGTTAACTGATCCAGTAGGGTTTTCCTTCTTCGGAACTCTTCATTGTGATTTTTTCCTTGAAGCGGTTGAATCAATGGAAAGTGCTGCGGTTTTTTGTTGTTCCCTGAGTTTGGTTTCTAATTTGGCATTTTGATCACGGGAGGGCGATATTAGAGTTTTTATCGGTCGCATGTCTGACTTCTTGCGGTTTGATTTTCGGATTTTGCAGCTAGAGGACGAGGAGATGCTCGTGACGCATTCGGATTTGGTCGAGGGCCCTCAGCCCATGGAAGGTAAGACTCGTCGTGTGATTTAATTTGATCTTATCCTTCAGTTCCTTTTTTTTACGTTTGATTTTATGGATTTGATGCAATAGAGCTGGTGGGATAGTAGGTTTAGTTTGTAGTGCCCAGAGTATAGGATGGATGGTTCACTGTGCTAGGGTTTTGTGAATTTTTTGATGCATTTGTAGTTGCCCGACCTGCTGAGCCTGCGAGTACTGTGGAGAACCAACCCATCGAGGATCCTCCCACTCTGAAATTCACTTGGACTATCGCAAATTTTTCAAGGCTGAACACCAGGAAGCATTACTCCGACATATTTATTGTTGGAGGCTACAAATGGTAATCCTATTTATTTGGCAATGATGATTGTTTGCCTAATATGCATTTTAATTGCTTGTGGTGTATTGCTTTGTTATGTGCAGGCGAGTTTTAATTTTCCCGAAAGGAAACAATGTCGATCATTTGTCCATGTACTTGGATGTTGCTGATTCTACGACTTTGCCGTACGGGTGGAGCAGATACGCGCAATTCAGCCTGGCTGTAGTCAATCAAATCCACAACAAATATTCCATTCGAAAGGGTATTTGTAATTGCTTAATTCCGCCCTTGTGGACTATTTTTTTAAATGCATGTAACGATTTTTTGAATTTTAAAAGTACGAATGTTGGGTTTGAAGAAAGGGGTCACTAGAAGATTTTGGAAGAGAATCAGGCAATAATCGGCTTCTCTTTACCTGTACAGCCAAACTGAAATTGATTAATCAGAATAAGTGTTGTACAATCTTCCAAGTGTCCTATTCAGGAAAATATTTATCTGTTTTTTAATAAACCCTGGTATATCTGAGTATCTAGTTGTGAGTCTCCCATGTTACAACTGAATCTTCAAGTGTTATTGGCATAACAATTTACTTTTGCCTCCTGCAGAGACACAACATCAATTCAATGTGAGAGAAAGCGATTGGGGTTTTACATCTTTCATGCCTCTCAGTGAACTATATGATCCTAGTAGAGGATATTTGGTGAATGATACTGTTGTGGTTGAAGCTGAAGTCGCTGTACGCAAGGTTCTTGATTACTGGTCTTATGACTCTAAAAAAGAGACCGGTTTTGTTGGACTTAAGAACCAAGGTGCAACCTGTTACATGAATTCTCTGCTACAGACGTTATACCATATCCCTTACTTCAGAAAGGTTGTAATGACTTTCTTGCTTTCTTTTTTAGGTCTCTAAATTATATATTTTTTTCTCACTGATTGTTTGAATAAAGACATCTGAATTCCGAGCTCTATCTGTAGGCTGTTTACCACATGCCGACGACTGAGAATGATTTGCCTACAGCAAGCATTCCTTTGGCCCTCCAAAGTTTGTTTTACAAGCTTCAATATAATGACACTAGTGTTGCAACAAAGGAGCTGACGAAGTCGTTTGGTTGGGATACATATGATTCTTTCATGCAACATGATGTCCAAGAACTCAACCGAGTTCTTTGTGAAAAGCTTGAGGATAAAATGAAGGTAATTTGCATTTTGCTGCTGGGCCTTTGGTTGCTTCTTAGTCGATGTTTTATGTTTGGATCTTTTGGTTCTCTTTTTCCCCAGGGAACGGTTGTGGAGGGAACAATACAGCAGTTATTTGAGGGTCATCATATGAATTACATTGAATGCATAAATGTAGATTACAAATCCACGCGAAAAGAGTCATTTTACGGTATTTAGTCTTTCATAATACCCCATCATCTATTATCTACTTTTTGTGAAGACAATTTTTTTAATTATGTATGTAATTCATGACAGATCTCCAGCTTGATGTGAAAGGCTGCAAGGATGTTTATGCTTCTTTTGACAAGTATGTTGAAGTTGAACGACTTGAAGGAGATAACAAATATCATGCCGAAGGACATGGTTTGCAGGTCGCCTGTCATGGTTTTCTTCTCATAACATCCTCTTGGGGATCTTCATTAATTCACAATGTGTCCGTTTGGGATCCCTTGATTTTGTCTGGTTTATATCTGTACCTTATTTGGTGTAGAAAGTTATCATTATGCATAGCAGCATAAGACATTCCTTAGCAAGGCTTTGAAGTCTTATGAAGTTTCTCTACTTAGTATTTACTTTGAAGCCAATGCAATAATAACTAACTAACTGTCATTATCACTGTGAAATGAAGTCAACTTATTTGGTCTCATTCTAGAGGAAACTGTGTTTATTGTTTCAGGATGCCAAGAAAGGTGTTTTATTCATAGACTTCCCAGCGGTTCTTCAACTTCAGTTGAAGAGGTTTGAATATGATTTTATGCGGGACACCATGGTGAAGGTAAGTGTTCTAGGTTTCAGGTGTCTAGAAATTAGTGAGCGTGTGATGGTGAATTTATACCCACCCCATGACTCTACCCTTATTCAGGATTTATATATATATTTTTTTCTTGATATTGGGCTTTCATGAAAAGTAGTCAGCGAGTGCTGATGCAAATTTATTTATAGATAAATGATCGCTATGAGTTTCCTCTTCAACTGGATCTTGATAGAGAGAACAGAAAGTATTTATCCCCTGAAGCAGACAAGGGTGTCCGCAATCTTTACACACTTCATAGGTATGCTTCTCTGAACTTAGATGTGGTAGTTTCACAGCAGTTTGCATTAATGTATTAGTTTTTGTGCAGTATGCTACCAGTGAATATATTTTGAAATCTGGTGGGCTGTCTTTTTTCAGAATTTGGTTACAAGTTTTTGTCATTGTTTGCTAGGTTCCTCCTCTCAGGGGAACTGCTTTCCAATGCTTACGCTTACATGAATAGTTAATTAGCATGGTTTGTGCTAAATATAGTTTCTAGTCATTATTTAGCCAGTGAAAAAGAAGGCACTAGAAAAGTATATTGTTATTGCCACAAGATAACCTTGTTATCTTTCTGCAGTGTTTTAGTTCACAGTGGAGGGGTGCATGGTGGGCACTATTATGCCTTTATAAGGCCAACACTCTCTGATCAATGGTATGTATCCTTTACCTCTCCTATACTTAGAAAAGTTTCAAAGGTTTGGGAAGCCTGAAATGTTTAATCTGCAAACTGTGCAGGCATCCTCTGCTTTTGATACATGCAGTGTCAATCATTTTGAGTCAGATATTCAAATTACACGTCGTAACGCTTGATATATGCTTGTG